TGAGCCAATCACAGATTTTGTAGGGGCAGGATTTGCCAGGAGAGACTCTAGGCTGGGAAGGGGAGTGTGACTTGCCCACTGATGGTTGGGGTGTGGACCCCCTCAATGGTGACTGCTTGGCCACTCACAAGGCACCAGTACTGGGGGCAACTGTTTAGGGTGCGGCAGGTGCCGGGTTGGGAACCTGGGTCAATAGGACGCCCTGTAGCCTCCTCCATGCCACCTGCCCCACCGCCTGTTTAGCCACAGCCCTCACTCTTACTGACCCGCCCTGTGCAGTCTTATTTGCCTGGGGCAGTTCCAGCTTAAAGCCCCTGACTTAGTCTCACTGGTTACCAGAGGCAATACCTCTAACTGCCTCCCCTTCAGCACAGTTCAGTTTTTTCTCATCTTGGATCCGTCCTAGCATGGGGCTCAGGGGAGATCACGTTGTTTTCCACCATTAACTGCACTCTCCAGCACCCTCTTCTTCTGCTGCGATTTCGCACAAGTTTCAGACAGATCTCTGGCTGGGTGGGTGTGGAGGTCAATGGAGAATCAAAGAGTTCTCCTGTGGGTCTGATCCCATTTCATCCCCTGGCCCAGTGGGCTGGTGCCCTCCCATGCGCCCTATTGTTTTCTTTGCACTCTCCAGAGAACGTGATGTTATCTCCCAATCACCTTGTTTTTCCTTTTATGAGAGTCCTGTGCTGAACCTCTGCAGATTCTCAATGCTGTTCTTGTAGTGGGGAAATCCACTCGCGTGGAGGAGACCAAGATCTGTGTCTCCTTCTCTGGGAGCAGGAGTCTGGGGGGGTTACCTTTACTCCACCATTTTTTTCTCCCTGAGAACGTTTTTTATTCTTTTGTGTTGATCTTAATTTGAATATTATTAATACTCTTACTTTGTTAGAATAGATATTTTTTTCCTCATTATGTGCTTCAGAATGATTAATCAGCAATAAATGTACCATTCTATTGATTAGGTATGAATTCTACGTTTGGTGATTGAAAGTTTCCCAATAGGCCAGTTGACTATTGAACTCTGGCCTTTAAAATGATTACATATAGTCATTCTTGCAAAACAAGTGAGTAATGATCTATTCTTCCCAATGAATGACTGATCTATGAATGGGTCCTCATTAAAACTCTTTTTTTTTTTTTTGCCCGAACACGCTTTGCTTTAAAGGTGACATGTCTTGAAATTCATTGCAATCAACTCTTTAGTGGAATATTCATTTTGGTCTACACAAATGACAATCCAATTCTGTTATTCAATTTTTTCTGTTGCTATGATATAATGATATTTGTAGATCATTGAGACAGTACTCACAACTGAAAGACTTTGGCAACTTCAGGGAATGGTTTGAGATTCAGGTATATAAGTTGCCCTTTACCAAAACCAAATACAAGATTACAGGTAATCTGAAGTCATCTTTTCTTAACCTGAATCTCATGTGGTGTCATTAGATTCATTATAAAGGAACCTATATGCTATGTATGATGCCAGCTGTTATGGATATGGATATTGCATATTTAGCCAAGTGAAGGGGAGAAGAAACTTCATTTCTTTAGGGAAATCATCCCTTGCCAGGTTACCAAAAGACTTGACACCTATACATTTGGTCTTTATTGTCCATGGTGAATCAGTTATCTACTGCTTAAGTATATTTGTAGTATCAAACATGCTAGTCCCATAGAAATTAGGAATATCAAGAGGAGTCATATACATATGAGAGATGTTATCCTACTCTGTAACTGTAGTCCTTAGATAAAGACTACTGAGGAAGAACATTCTGCCCTGTTGCCCAATCTCATTTCAGTGATAAGTAAGACCTTGTGTTGTCTTGAGGCCAGGGCATGGCAGAAACAAAAACAAAAAACAAACAAACAAACAAAAAACACCAGGGTGAGTGGCCATTGTTTTTTCTGAGGTATTATAGTTTGGGATTAAGAGGAAGAAATATTTTGAAGATAGTTTCTCCCACATTTTCTATTAGCTTCTAGAAGACTACTTAACAATTCTTTCCTCATGATTTAGTGGGAAACATTTTGGCAGTACCTCAAAAAGTAAAACAGAATTACCATATAACACGGCAATTCCACTCCTAGGTACATACTCAAAATAATTGAATAGAAATGTTCAAATGAATACTTATACATCAGTGTTCATAGCAGCACTATTCACAATAATCAATGAGTGGAAACAACTCAGATTACCATTAACTGATGAATGATCAACTAAATGTGGTTTAGCCATATGATGGAATATTAGTCAGCCATAAAAAGGAATGAAGTGTGATATGTTACAATATAGACAAACTTAAAAAACAATGTGCTAAATGACATAAGACAGCAAAAAGACACATATTATACAATTTCATTTATATAAACATTCAGAATAGATAAATCCATAGAGACAGGAAGCAGACTGGTGGTTGCCAAGGACTGGAAGTTAGGGCAGAATGAGAATTGGCTGTTTAATGGGTATAGAGTTTCATTTTGGGATGATGAAAATGTCTTGGAACTAGATAGAGATCTAATTCTCATTTTGACTGTTGTTGGCATATAGGAATGCTACTGATTTCTGTACATTGATTTTGTAACCTGAGACTTTGCTGAATTTATCAATTCCAGTTATCTCATAATGGAATCTTTTTTTTTTTATTTTGGCATATTATGGGGGTACAGATTTTAAGGTTTCAATAAATGCCCATTTTTTATGTGTGGTTTTGTTTTGCCCCCTCCCCCCAAAAGGTCTGAGCTCTCCATCATGACCATCCCCCAGATGGTGCCCACATCTCACTCATCTATCGTATGGTTATGATACCCGGCCCCCCTCCCCCTCCCACCTGCGCCAATACCTCTATTACTGCTGTGAGCTACCTAGTGGCTCCTCCACCGCTTAGGTGCTACTCAGTTAATAACAGTTTGCTGGGAGAATATATCTGGTGCGCTTGTTTTTGCCATTCTTGGGATATTTCACCTTAGTAGTATGGGGTTCCAGCTCTACAGCGCAAAATAGTTAAGATGTGTCCATTATGCACCATTGTTTCTTAGAGTCTGTGTTGTCTGTACAATAGCCTGACTCCGTTCATTTTGGTATTACATGTATACCACATTATTAGATGCCATTTCTCGTGTGTGGCCTCTGGCTGCTTCACGCAGGCTGTCAGATATGAATTGTGCTGCTTATAAACATTTCGAGTGCAGGTGGTTTTTTGTAGATGTGTCATTTTTGTGATCTTTGGGTAATGCGGGAGCAATGGATTCTGGATCCTATTACGGTAGATTCACTTGTAGTCGCTTTAAGGTATCTCCATATTGCTTCCACAGAGGGTTGAACTAGTTTGCACTCCCACCAGTCTAGGTAGTGTGTGCTCTCTCTCCGCACCATGCCAGCATTTGTTGTTTGGAGTCTTGATAAATGTGTGCCGAATTCTCGTGTTGGTGTTGGTCGTACTCACTGCGTCGAGAATGAGTATCATTGTGGTTTTTGAATGTGCAGTTTCCCTGATGATTAGATGGTATAATGGTTGTAGTAGTTTTTAGTGTGTGCTATCTTGTCTTTCTGTGTCTCATGAAATACAGTCTCCGTCAATCCTGTGCCCTCCACTTTTTAATGGGGTTATTTGATTTTTTCTTCCTGATTTTCATGAGTTCTAAGTATATTCTAGTTATCAGTCCCTTATCGGATGCATAGGATGCAAAAATTTTCTCCCATTCTGTAGGTTGTCTGAATAACAACTTTCTTAATGTAGTATGAATCTTTAATAATAAGTGTTTATAATTACTTAGATGTAGTGGTTGATAGTTTTCATGTATTGTTCATACGTAAGTTATACTTATAGATTTCTTATTTTCAATCACTTGCTGTTAATATTTCTTATGTCTTCAAATAAAAGTACATTAAACAAAACTAAGAAGATGTTGAAAAGTCAGCCAAATCAAGGAAATAACAAAAGTATTTTTTCACTGGGAGATTTTACACAGCTTCTGAAAGGAAATGTATTGTGTACAAAAATAATGAGGACTGAATAAAAAAATACTCAGATACTTTGGTTTATTTCTAGCTTAATGAAAGCAAGGATTCATGAAGTGTAATTGCCTAGCATGGATGTGGATTATGTAGAAATAAGACTACTTTCAGTCAGATAAAACAGAATCATGTGGGGCAATGATCCTATGAGTCTAATATGAATATATATATGCTTTGGATAGGGACTATGAACCAGTGGGAAAAAAATTTCACATTGTATATTTATGTCAGATATATCCTGAAATATTTTAATAGTCTTTTAAATGAGACAATCCAAGTTCACAGGTAACACTTGACTTTTGTTTCTAACATGTTGAGTAATATGTCATCATTGGAAACTATCCCACTGCAGTATCACTTCAAATATTGCTCCAGACAGAAGAGTCCTGGAAAGTTTCTGGAGTTGCCAGTATAGCCAGCTTCACTAAAGTCAAGTCAAATGACAACTTGTGCTGTAACCTGCTGTAAGCTGAATGCAGATGATAAAGTTTTAGGGGCATTAGTGTGGTGTGAAGAATGTTTGTTTATTGGAATTGGACCTGTATGCGTCAAGTATAAGCACAAGTACCTAAGGATGTAGAGGTGCAGCTGAGTGGCCATCTATTCTATTAGATCATAACAAATAACCATTTCAGAACTGGCCCAATTGATGGCCTCCTCGATAATCTTACATGCTAATATCATGTACTGTCCATTTTTGCACAGTATTATCATAATTACTTCCGTTCAAGAAATAAAAGCTGTGTCATTTAGATAGCTTGGTAGAGAGGAAATTGCAGGGTAAGGAATTCAGGGAGGAAACAAGAGAATAAATGAAATGACAAAGGTGACAAATGATCAACTGTGACGTTTATCACGGGGACTACGATGCTGGCATGTCTGAATGATACATACTTATAAAGAAAGCAATGTTGCACTTTACTTCTAATTAATTTGGCGCGTTGATGACCTCATTTATAATTTATCTGATGCCTTGTTACAGGTTCAAAATGAGAACAAGGTGTTGTACTTCAGGGAAGAGAGGTGAGCAACCACTTTGGTACTTTTCAAATTCTTTTGTGAATCTGTGGCTGGTGAAGTCAGAATGTCAAGGTCTACGTGTTCATTACTTCAGTGGCTTAAAGAGACTATTTTTTACAGGAGATATATTTCCCCATGGACGTTTTGACCCTGTTCAAGCAATCTTCTTTCTTGTTTCTTCCCTTTGTTTAAATCTCTGTTTGAAGTAACCCACGTAATTTTGTGAGTCGCGTACCTATTTCTCCTTTCGCCATTTTCTATTAAGAGAAGATAATCTTGTCGTAAAATTTAAGTGTCCTAAATATTGATTTTTTTATCTTTTTCTGGCACATTCAGAACATAGATGTTTGGATTCATATTTGTATTGTAATCATATCATATATTACTTCACTACATCACTTATTCCTTAAAGTTTCAGTTGATTTAAAAGTTCATTTAAATTATTCCAGCAGATTTTTATCTAATTTTATTAGAACAATCCAGGGTCATT